TACATCACAGTTACTATCATATGATACTGTGATCGACAGAGGGGGACCAACAGCGATGTGTTGTATTCTTGATGAGACTGGGAAATAGAGCATTGGCTGAGTCACGGCTTGGAGGAAGAGAAGTACTTCGACGAGGTGAGAACGACGGTGGTGTACTCCATGTTCGTTCGCTTACTTCTCTGCAAACTACCAACACGACTGATCATCAATCACTTGGAAATTTCTATTCTCTTTTGACTATATTGATGAGACGAAGGATAGAACATACTGACTTCGGTGCATCCTTAGTTGTCGAGATTCGACATACTCTGAAGAAACGAAATGCAAGGAAAAGCAGTAAAAAACACACGATGCCAATGGTGAACGGAACAGCAGAGGTTTCAAAATATGCCGAACTCGTCACCTCGGACCTGAGTGGCCAGTTAGCGGCTACTATCTTCTCTTCGAAAATTATCTGCCCCTTGTTGGGAAGCAGCTCTGTTGAGGTTACAGGGGAGGCGTCGTCATCCCCCGACTCACCACCCAGCGAGCCTCTGAGGTTCACTGGTGGACTTGATAATTCCTTGACGGTCGTATTTCTTAGCAACGCACGACCGACTACCAACCGGGTATGGCCGAACTCGTAGTTTATGGGGATTTCCTTAAGATTAAGAAGCGCGTAAGGCAACCTACCGAAATACGATTCCAGTGCAGCGTGGACTCGATGAGGGACCTTGACATCACCATCGTCCAGCTTATCCCATCTCATTGGGAAGAAGTCGTCATACAAAGCACATGAATCATCTCGTTCTCGGCAAGCGGTAACCTGGCCTTCATCGTAGCCTGGGCACGATGCGCACTCCTCACCACCGGTGTGATTCGATTGCAGCATCTGGAATACGTCGGCGTGGCAGTCCACATGCCCATATTGGAGAACGACGCGGATCTCACGGGGGTCACAGCCTTCCCACTCATCAGGGTCCAATTCAGATCCGTCACCATAGATGATACCAGCCACACGATAGCGAGAGTCGTCGGGCAGATACTCCCGTAGAAGGGATGCCATGTTCTTATGATGGGTGGTGGCGTGGGTCGAGAAGGCCTTCCGACAATGACTCTGCATGATGAGGAGATCGCCATCGACATCCCAGGGTATATGATTCTTATCGTGTCGTTGCCAACCTAATAGGGTACCATCGATGATGGTCGCATCGACACCCAACCTGTCCAATGCATGTGTGGTGACGTTGATCACCTCCGTTAGACACTTCAAAAAATCTCCTCTGCCCTTGAGCTCCATGAGCTCATCATAATCCATACAAAGTGTACCGTTGATAATAACCTCCTTTGACGGCCAGGACGTTAAGTTCACACCATCTGTTACATTCATCGGACACAGGAATAGATTCTCCGATGGCGCAGTGGCGACTAATTCCTCAGCAAAAACTTGAATATAAGGATGCTTGGACAAAACTGATGCCGAAGGTGCTTCCTCCGTTGTTCCGGTCACTTCGTACATCAGAAGCAACAGGAAATTGGAGACCAAACGGCAATACGACATCGAATACCGAGTTAATACGGAAGGGTCAACTGACCGACAAAGCAGCTCAGTCAATTTATTGGGCTCAGGCATTGAAGCTCCCCTTCGGCATACAGAGGACTACCCTATCCTTGGATTGACAAACACGATGCAAGCATTTTCAAACACTGACCAAGAGAAGCTGATGCCTCATCGCACACTGGCTTCCCACTAGTGAGACCTCAACAGTTGTGTGAAAGCTTCTGTGAACTATGTGCTCGTTGGGCTCCGCTCTTTGTTCATCGCAGAGATGCTGTTCCGCCACGAGGCACGAAGACACTTTCGTTTCCTGCTGGAATACATAGACCATCCTGCATACAGATTTTCCCCACCAGAGACGCGACCACTGACGAATGGCCTTAAACTCGGACTTGTCATCGAAAAGACGAGTCGGAATGTCCTGGAGAGATGAAGCCATAATCAAGCCTGGGGGATACCCTCACCATCCCAGCATGTCGCTCCTTGGGTGCCCACGGCTTAGAGGACGGAGTGCCTGCGGATCGAGGTTGTGTTACTCGACTTGCATCGAACGTCTGCTCACCGTGTTCCGTCGATTGGCAGGAGACGTTCTCTTCCGAGATGAGCCTCTTCTTGTATTTCATCAGAGCTCTTTCCATTAACTAAAGCAGCAGTTCATGTTCACTCCATTCACTGTCCCCAATAGCTGAGGTGCTGCTCACATCCGCCTTGTCCCAATTATTCATGATTATTCCACCATTTGGGTGAGTAGATCGTTGCTCTTGACAAATACTGGTAGTGAGCTGAGATCATGGAAGGGCGTGATGATGGATAGTTTGTGAGATATAAACGTCAACCATAATAGCCATTTGCCAGGATTGAACTGACGACCTTCTGCTTACGAAGCAGACGCTCTACCACTAAGCTAAAGTGGCTAACGAAGACAATAATCACCATTTTCAGCCCGAGGCTTGACCCCCTGCCGCTCCGAATCGTCAAAATGAAGAGCGTATGCCCGCAGGATGCTCCAAATACGACTACATACTCTGCGTTGCGCTTACGAAATCCTCAGCCTCACGATTCGTCCACTCGAAAAACGTTGGGGCTGCATCTTTCTCCCACTTCCTCCCGTCAACTGAGCAGTGTCAGGCAGTGAGTTTGACAAACAATGGAACGGCCTTTTCATCACTTCCTAATACGTTGCATCGGATATTGTGTGTGAATTGAAACAACTGTTGGAGCGTGAGCTGAGACCATGGCTGAATGAGGAACCGCCTTATGGCGAGGCTCGTACGAAACTAGTCTGTACTATATCGTCATCATTTGCTGTGTCTCGCGGCAACAGTATTGACTCGGTAAGTTGGTCCGGCAGGCCGTGAAGGGCGCGGCTGAATCTTCTGATGCATATAAGCAGCAGACCAGGTACCCGACCTTATACGCTCCTTCGCAATGCCAGCAGTCAAACGGCGAATGAACTTGACAGCGGCCACGGCGTTAGGGCTTCTCATGCCTCGATCCGTCATCACAGTAGTCTGATGACGTCATTTAAATCACTGCTTCGGGCAGAGCTCACCTCGATGAGAACGATAAGTATCTCTTCGACAAGGTAGTGCTGTTCGATCAGCTTGAGACCTGTCACCGAACGATGGCTCCTGAGGGAAGGAGCAGCCCTCACCTATGCTGCTATCAAGTTCTATCATGTCGCATGCCAGCGACCATCGCAGAGGCGGTAGGACATCTCCGGGAGTGGCCTTAGATTTATCCTGTAGATGAGTGCGCGACCTCATACCACTCCTTTCGTTACTCTTCGTGACCCAAAGGCATCAGCAAGCAGCGTCCCCCCATGCCGTTGAAGGAACTCATGCGGATCCATACTCTGAGGAGAGGCGGCCGTAACCAGCAAGATGGACCGAAAAGTCTACGACACATTTTAGTCACTCAAATGATTGTTAATGGTATGGCAGCGATCATATCAATAAACAAAATACTAAACGTTTTGGTAACTCCACGTACTTCCCCTTCGCCTCGCTCCCCGAGGAACTCGCTATTTGCATCCACGAACCTGAAGCCATGCCGTTGATGAGAAAAGGAAGCCGTAGTGCAATATCTAGTTCGGGTGATAAGTTCGTCAATGTCAGCCCTCTCGAGAGGTTCCTATTGAAACAGCGATTGATGCCGGCGGCTCACTTCATAAGTAGAGTCGTATTGAGGTACCCCAAACGAGACAAGATATAGTCTTGTCTCGACGGAAAGCCCCCTAGCCATTGTGGGTGTCCACGCAGGGCCACCTCGACCTCTTCTCCATCCTATCAGATGGAGCTCAACAGCAGCAGCAGCAGAGACGACTATCCTACTTTTATTGCTGTCATCTTGAGCATGCTGCGAGCCAGGATACCACACCGGAAGCAAGTGGTCTCATAAAGGATGGCTACTGCTCTTGGGAGGATGTTGGTCGCGAAGATCGGGTGATGCCTCTCGAGGATGACGGGGAGTATCTTACAAATCTTCATAGTGCGCACCATATCTCAGATTGACTCATGGGATCGTATAGTACACTGGTTGTGGGACTATATAATTCCGCATAAACAGAAACAAAGACTTCTGATGTGTATGGAGCACATGGCCCTATTGAGTGTTCAAGAAGTGGGAGACCCTGATGATACTGCACACATGTGAAAACCGCTGGTAGAGGCGATGATGCTTGGGTCTTTATACACTCACCAAAGTGATGCTCGACAGTAGCTCCCTCAATGCGAGAGTACACCCTTCCGCATAGTCAGACTTAGTACGACTATAGTCAGCACAGACATCCCAACACGCTGTCAGACCCTCGATAGTCAGAAGCGTATCGTCTGAGTTTGCAACTAGTAAACATGAAGTTGGGGAAATACAGTCCACCTAGAGAGACCGTCGACTCCGACATGAAGAGAATACGAACGAGGTGCATGCCTCTCGCAATGAGGTCATCTGAGTTGTATAAATTGGGGTAGGTCGTTACAGGACGATGCTTACAGTGAGTGTCGTTATCGGCTCGGTTAGAAACAGCGCTGTGGCAAGCAGCAACAACAATTTGCAATACACGAGTTAAGAGTCTCGGGACTTTGCTCGAGGAAGACCCATCGGGGAGCAGAAGCAACGAGGTGTAACTGTTGTATGAGAGATGAGTTACGATTGGTGTGGTATGGAGTTACGTGGGTCCACCAACCTCACACATCCGTACAAGCAGCTCGACGACTTTTGATTGTACTGGACGTAATATCTCACCGAGCACGCCACCTAAGGGACTTCCACGTTTGCTCGAGGATTTTGTCTCCAGTGGAGAGGGAAAGTATGCACATGATCAACTACATGTGTTGGTGACAATATGATAATTCTGGGAGGAAATTCTTGTTTGCTTTCTATACACTTCTACCGGAAGTCGTGTGTGAACTTCTACAATCAGTGGAGAAACTCCTGAGCTCAGCGAGCATATATTCCTCCAAAGTCTGTACTCACCCAAGAGCAAGAGCATGTCCGGAGTTTTATCGAATCCTTCCACAGGGAGGAGCATTCGTGCGAGGCAAACAGGCAAGGCAGTCTCGTAGTAGGCTCCTGAACCAGGGGTCTATCACTGGAGTCGTAGTGAATGTATACTTATTATCAGTCTTTCATGGAAGGCTAGTAGTAAGCTGAG